CTCCCAGGGTGCTCCTAACACACCTCCCGTCCTATGTCAGGGCCTGGGACAGGGTCGCCAGCCCCCTTCTACCCCAGCCCTTGCCCAGGGAAAGGGATGTTCCTGCTGCCTTCCACCGGCACAGCTCATCCCTGAGGCTGAGGGAGGGGGCTCACCTGGAACAAGAGGAAGCGAGAAGGGGAGAGTGGCTGCCACTTCACGCCATGAGCCCCTGGCTGGTGACAGGAAGGCGCTGGGGCCCAGAGTGGATAAGTCCCTCGTCCAAGGCCCCATGCGACTTTGCAGGAGGCCCAGCAAGCTCCCGCCACTTCACCTCCTGCCTTCTCAACTGCCTATGGCGAACTCCGAGCCCCCAAAGGGTAGGGGCACCGTCCCCAGGACTCTGAGCTTGGCCAGAGACAGATGTGGACAAAGTCAACACTGTGACAGAAGAGAGCGCCCCAACCTGCCCCAGGGCACCCCACCCGCATCCAAGCCCCAGGACTGGGGAGCCGCAGCACTTCCTGCCCCTGGAAAGCGCTTGGCCGGCGAGTCAGCCGGGACCCAGAGCCTGACAAACAGCATCTCTGTAGCTGCCGGGACACCCGCCAAGCTGCTTCATTCCCCAGGGCTGACCTCATGTTTCTCAAGAGCCTCAAGAAGCCTGGGGTCTGTGTGTTGTCTCTCCTGGTTCAGTTCTGCCGCCAGCAAAGAAGACGGCCCAGGCCGGGGCCACGCGAAGAGGTGGGGGTGCAGAGCCCATCGGCGCCCCCACCACCCGCCCCTGCCCTGCCAGAGCCTCCTGCCTGTGCCCACAGGCCCATTCCGGAGGAACCTGAGCATCACCCTCTCACCTCCGTGCCGAGGCCCGTCCCGATCTGTCTTCCTGCTTCCACCAATCCGAGGTGGCCCTTGAAGGCACTGCCATACTCCGCTAGCCCCGTCTGCTTTCAGCCTTCTGGAAAGGGAAGAAAAGGCAGGCTCATCGGAGGGGCTCAGAGCATCTCTGAAATCAGTCCCACCGCCTCAAAGAGAGCCTGAGAGCTCATGGCCAGGCTGCGGCCTAGGCTTGGCAACAGAAGTCACTGTACAGTTAACCCCGAGCTGGGCCAGGCACCCACCCTGGCCTTCCAAGGCCACCCAGTGCATGAGCCACTATGTCCCCCAAACAAAAGCCTTCGTGCACGCTGGGCCCCACTCCCAGATATTCTTTCCGGGTCAAAGACTTACTGGTGTTTGACAGTGGACAGGGCTGGGAGCAGACAAGGTGAGCAGCCTGTGGAAACAGCACGGAGCCAGACCATGCGGATACAACGAGGTCCCGTCCACCCCTTTGCAGGGCATCTCCTGGGGATCCTCGCTACCCACCACCCAGCCTGCAGCTCTGAATCAAGGCATTTGTTCTTTTTCAGGTGCACTTCCAGGTTTTTATTCTCCTGGTCAAACCGCAGGCTGACAACATGGAGGAGAGGAGAGAGGCCTCGCTTTTGGCCATCCTCTCCCTGGGCTGACCCAGGGGATCAAACGCAGCAGCTGGTGGTTTGAAACTTCCCTGGCAGAAGTCGTCTTCAGAACAGAGGCCCCCACTCCTCAGCGCCTGCAAGGTCTGCATACCTTGAAAGTATGCAGGCTGCAGGGCTGTGCGAACAGAGTGGAATTTTCCATTTATAGAATAATAACCTTCATACCACTCTGGGGGCCCCGTTCTCGTGGTTAGAGCTCAGAGTTGTGTCAGCAAACCTGCCACGCTTCTGCGGGAGCCTCACGCCTTACGGGCTCTTGTATTTATTTTTGGTGGGAGAAGGGGAGGAAATAAAGGAATGACTTTTTCATTCGGGTGCCAACACAAACTTGAAAAAGGAACTGGGTTGGCAAGTGCAGAATATTACTGCCTGGCTTCGGGACTTAAATCAAGCTTCAGGGAGCAGGAGGTGAGGAAGAGACTAGGAAAACATATCTTCAACCCCTCACACGGACAGGTGGCCAGAACGGGCATCACGTTACTGCCTGCAGTCCTTCCCTGTGCCTGCCACCTGGCCCCTGGATTGCCCCTGAGGGCAGCAGCCCCAGCCAAAGGCACGGCTCCATCGTCCAGTGTCTCCCGTGTTCTACACTTGATTTCGGCTGATGCACACATGGACGCCGAAATGCCTTTGGGGTCCATGGTATGGCAGGAAGGCCACCAAGCCAGGGGTGATGGGGCCCAAGTCCTAGTTCTTGCTGGTACATAGTCACCATGTGATCTAAAAGAAGTCCTTCTCTCCCCCGAGTCTCATTTTCTTCATCCGTACAGGAAGACTGGCCCTAGCTGGTTTGGCTCAGTGGATAGAGCGTGGGCCTGCAGATTGAAGGGTCCCAGGTTTGATTCTGGTCAAGAGCACATTCCTGGGTTGTGGGCTTGATTCCCAGTAGGGGCTGTGCGGAGGCAGCTGATCAATGATTCTCCCTCATCCTTGATGCTTCTATCTCTCTCTCCCTCTCCCTTGCTCTCTGGAATCAATAAAAATATTTTTAAAAAAAGATTGGATCAAATGACCCCCGAGACCCCTTCCACTGCTGACATTCTGATTCACTCCTTCATCCTAGTGGTAACGGTGCCAGGCCTAGGTTCTGGGCATCCTCCCCAGGGCCCTTCTGAAGCTGCTGGGCGAAGCCAGAGCTGTGAGCACAGCCTCAGGCCCAATGAGAGCTGCCAGCACCAGCCACCCGGCTCCCCGTTTCAATAGCCACGGGGGAGGGGAGCCCTGCCACCAGAAGGGAACCCTGTGAGGGCCCTTCCGGGTGCCTTTTTGTGAAAAACACAAACAAGTGTTGCCCCTTCCCCTGGAAGGGCATGACCACCTCGTACCCTCCTAATCAAAAATCTTGATTTTTTTCCCCATTGTTTTTTTTTAAAATATATTTTATTGATTTTTTACAGAGAGGAAGGGAGAGGGACAGAGAGTTAGAAACATCGATGAGAGAGAAACATCGACCAGCTGCCTCCTGCACACCCCCCATTGGGATGTGCCCGCAACCAAGGTACATGCCCCTGACCGGAATCGAACCCGGGACCTTTCAGTCCGCAGGCCGACGCTCTATCCACTGAGACAAACCGGTTTGGCTCCCCATTGTTTTTATTAAAAAAAAAAAATGTTCTCATTTCAAAGTATTCAATTGTGATCGTGAAAATGCTTTGCTTTTCAAATTGCACATACCCATCAGATTTCAGTACAATCCTGGGGGCGGGGGCGACTCGGGGGAGAGCGAGACACACACACACACACACCAACGCTAGGGCTGGAAGGTCCCCATCCTTAGGTCACCAGTTCATGGCCATCCAGGCTCTGAACACTTGTTGGGAGGCCACCGTGGGTCCCTCTACTACTTACTAGGCGAGAACTCTAACTTCTGTGAACCTCAGAGGTGTGCTGTGCAGACTGAAGTTGCTTCATTGCTGGGCGGCTCTAAAAACTGCATCCTCAGATCGCGCCCAGTCCGCCTCCCCAGTTTCCCCGCAGAGGCTAGTGAGGAGGTGGGAGGCGAGACGGGGCTTCTGGCCCAGAGGATTGAAGGCTGGGAGGTGGGTGCGTGAATGTCGGGGCATTTGCCCACCGCCATACCTTCCCCCTCCCGTCCTCGGCGAGCATCACCACCAGGGCAAGGGAGCCCCTGGTCACCTGTTCAGACCCAGTCCTGGTCACCTGTTCCAACCCAGGGCACAGAGCTCGGGCGGGGGCGGGGGCGAAGGCGGACGACCCCAGCAGCCGCCCCTCCCCGGCTCTTCTCTCCGCTCCACTTGCCCCTCCCCGCCGGGTGCGCGGGCAGGGCACGCCCCTTCCCCGTTTCACCAATCAGCGTCCTGAGCGGCACCCGTGGCGCAGGGGGCTCTTGTCGGCAGCCAATTAGCGCCGGAGCCCGTGGAGGCGCCTCGCCCGCCCCCTCCCAGAATGAAAGCCGCCCCGCAGCTGGCAAAGCTGGCGCAGCGCGCTGGGCGCCAGAGCTGCTCGGGCCGGAGCGGAGCGCGCGCACTGTCCGCCCGCTCCCGGCCCGCCTGCCTGCGTTCCGCGTCCGTTCCTGGTGCGGGCGAGGTCGCCCGGGCCTCGGCGAGCTTCCGGGGCAGGGCGGCCGCGCTATGCCCGGTGACAGAGTAGTAATCTGGCCTGATAACAGGGCGCCAACGTGGCCTCATCCTCCTGGTCGAGCCCGCTGAAAAG